TAACTTTCTAATAACATGCAGTAATAACTAATGATTGATGAAAAACTATTTAATAAAACTAAATATCTACTAGAAGTACCTAGGTAGTTATAAATTATTGTTATTTATGATTTACAATTTTTTTGATATAATATAGGTTAATTGTAAAGAATAACATTATGAATAAAGTTGAATCAGTATCAAAAAGTCTATCACTGAGGGCCAAATGTCTGGAATTAGAAATTTGTTTAATTTGGGAGGGAGAAACAATTTTAAAAATGTACAAAAATATTGATAAACTTGTTGAAGTAAACACACAAAAATTTGATTATTGTAATAATCTCCAATTTCAAATTGGGAATATTCATACAGAAATAAATAAAGACTTGGACAATATTAAATATGCAAGTTCCAAAATTATTAGTCGCATATTTAATCAGACTCAAAAATATAACAATGTTAAAATAATAGTTGAAGAAAAAATTATAAACTTAAATGAGTTACACAATAAGATTCCTGTTACTGAAGAAATTCTTCTACACAGGTTAAGTGTTTTAGAGGTGATATCTTATTATTATTTATTAATAATTATCATGTTATGGTGTACCTACTACATGTATTATACATATTGTATAGAATACTCATTTCTTTTTCTGTCGTCTCTCATCACTCCACTCATCCACTTTAACATTCTAATCTCTGCAACACTCATTCTTTTCTCCATTGTTTTATCTATAGCCCAACATTCCGATCCATCCATCATCGCCGGCCTTACTAGTTACTACTGTCTTATAAAATAATTTACCTTTTAACCTAAATGGGATTCTTCTATCGCATAAAACACCTGACGCTTCTCTCCGCTTCATCCATTCTTACTTAATCCTATTCACAATATCTTTGTCAAAACCACCATTCTTTTTAATATGCATCCTATAAGTACTTGAAACAGTTGAAACTATCAACTTCAACTTCGTCCACTACCTCCCACCATATTCACTATATACCTATTCTAGTTTACTCTTAAGACTTTATCTTCAAGATGAAAATTAAACTCAATATACACAGTTTTACTTCTACTCATTTTTAACCCTTTTCTCTTAAGTGTTTCCCTCCATTCTTCCAGTTTATAGTTCACCTCCTCCAGACTATCTCCAACCAACACTACATCATCAGCAAACAACATGCACCATGGTACCTCAACCTCACCATGTATACTTTTTGTAATTTTGTCTATTACCTACTAAAGAAAACAAGTAAAAACTCAAGACTCAACGCTGAACCTTGGTGCACTCCAACTTCAACTCCAACCCTAAACACCTCGGTTTCACCATCAAAGCTTTTAACCCTCGTATTCGCTCCTTCATAATTGTCTTCAATGATATTTACATTCGCCTTTGACAACCCATTCTTCATCAATGCCTGTTTCAAAACCTCTCTAGGAACTCTATCGTAGGCCTTCTCTAGATCAATAAAAATCATACATAACTTCCTTTTTTTCTCTCTATACTTTTCAATTACTTGTCTTACACAAAATAACTGTTGAAGAACCTCTTCAACCAGTCTACTCCTAATCTCCCTAGCACTTTCCAAGCTTCTACTGGTATTCTATCTGGACCTACTGCTTTTCTATTTTTCATTTTTCTAAACTGGGTTTTTTTCTTTAAAATTATGGGTTGCAGTTCCTTTTCTCAACACCATGTTTGTTTATCTTCTGGCATTTTATCTCTGCTTTTACCTAACACAGTATTAGCCACACTTCAAAGTTCTAATATTATCCACTACGCACTTTCCCACACTTAGTTTATACTCCCTTCTACATTCACTATATCAATTTCTCTCATTTTCTTTGTTAATACTTTTTCATTCTCACCACATAATTTCCACCACCTTATTCTTGCTTCCTTCTTTATATTTTCCCTTCTGGTCACCCTTTTTTTTATTGCACTAGATCTCCATAACCATAAGTTTATGCTGTGTTGTCACACTTTCTCCTGCAACCCTTACATTGTTTTGCATTACCCTTTTTCACCATAAAATAATGAGACGTATTGTATAGATATTTTACGTTAAATTATATTAATTTTCATTTAGGTATATACTATAAATTAAATGAAAATAGCGACTTAGATGTAGGTAGGTTATTTTCTGCATCAGGGCTGGCTTGAAGGCAGTCCCTTTTTTGTGCATTTGAAGGTTTCATGTATGTGTGACGTGTCGTAATAATAATTTGCTGAAGGTAGATGGTTTCAGGTTTGTTCATAATTTGATTTTTGAAGTTATTAATTATTCAGTAGGCATCAAAAGATGGATAAAAAAAAGATTATACCCTAAAGTTTAGGGCCTAAACAATTGGTCAATCATCTTTCTAGACTCTGGGCCTACATTAAAAAATTAAAAAATTTTTTTGTGTCATACAAAAATTAAAATCTTATTATAATTTTCTATTTAAGTATAAAAACGAATAAAGAATAAAAATATGTCCTAAGCCATAAGGGGATTGAAAATAGACATTATTTTGTAACAATACCATTAGTTCATTGAATAAATTTAACTAATATAAAATAATTATCTTAATTGTAAATTTCAGATGTTAATGTGAGATTGGCTATGCCACATTTTAATTTAAGTATTTAACCTCCCCAAAACTTATTTTTAGTAGATCACTAATAGATTTTAAAGTAAATTCAAATTTGTTTGTTGAAATCTTATCTAATACTGCTAATACCATAGCTTATAAACCTATTATCATACTTAAAGCTAAGAGTATTAGCTGTGCTCCTGCATTACAATGGCTGTTTTGTGATAAGTATTTTAATTTTTATGCAATTTGTGAGCATTTTTAAATTTTAATAATTTACATACTTTTAACTTATATACATATTAAAATATCATAAAATAGCAAATGCAGAGACATGGATAATGTTATAAACTTAAAGGCGAATAAGATTAAAAGTAATAACACAGGGTGTCAAGGTTGGTTCCGCTAAATGTAAATTTGCTTTTTCGAGGGTGGGTAAAGAGTGAAAACAAAATATAGTGTGCAAGTGTGCAACATCTTTTTAAAGAGGATGGATAAATTGCAATATGCAGTGTCATACTCAATTTTTTTATGGTTTAGTGGTGTAACATTTTTTCTCAATTAATCAGTTTTAACAATTATTTTATTTATAGTATAATAAACAATATATTTTTTTCAATCTCTTTAAATAAGGATATATTTAGTTTTATTATTATTTTTTTTTATTGTTATTAATTAAAGTTTATTTTTAAAATAGCCTGGGATATTTAATGAATATTGAAAGTAGAATAAAAGAAAACCAAAAAGAAATAATCATAAAACGTCAACAAATTGAAGATGAAAATATAAAAATAAAAAAACTAGAAAAAATGTGTGTTGATAAAGATAAAATCATACTAGATGCACAAGTTGAAATAAAAAAAAAACGGTCTCAGTTAGAGGTATATATGTCTTAAACATATTTTATTAATTTTAATGTCTATTTAATGATCAAGTTTATATCATATTACCTAATACATTTTAAATAGACTAAATATTTTATGTTTTATATATACCTACTTCACATTACTCTAATCTTAAGTTAATGAAAGCTATTAAAATAGTTTTTAACTTAGAAGCGCAACCATACTTTGCGTGAGTGTCTGTGTGTGTCATATATAGGATTGTAGTTAGATCCAAACAAGAAATTATTTTAAATGCATTTAATACACATTTTAGTACTTTTAAATTATTAACTATTTTCTAGGCTGAAAAAAAAAGTTAAGTTAAAACTGTTAAAAGAGAGTTTTACATATTAATTGCAATTATTGTCAAGTACTTACTATATTATTATGCTGTTGGGAAAGCCTTTTGTGCATGTTACTTGTTTGATTGACTACCTATGTAATATAACTGTACTACACAAATACAATTAAATACTTATAGGTCTTAGCCCTTTGGTTTATAAATTGAAAGTATGAAGGCTGTGTAAATATAGACATGGGAGGGAGTGGGAACAGGCAAGGAGCCTTGATTTAGTATGTTTGTATCGACTAGTTGGTTAAAAGATCAGATAACTATAGTAGCTTTAGTGACACAAATTTATAAATATAATATTATACAGTGGCGTGGCGAACTCCAATATTTTCAGAGGCAATTATATTTTTGCGATACCCACCCACCCACCCACCCATCGACAATAATTTTGTCTCTCAATTGGAAATAGAGTTGGGGGGAGGGGGTTGATTGCTTTTCACAGACAATTGTACTTATTAGGTACTAGGTAGGTATTATTACCAACTAATGGTTAGTAACCACTGCCTATACTGGATACTTTAGCTTTCGTTTATATCAATATTAGACAATATTAAAATATAATTTTATGTGTTATTTTCCTAAATTCGTTATTATGAATTTAAATTATTTCCCATTCACCCAGAGTCACCCATCACCCACCAAAAAAAAACTGAGATGCTCTCGATTATCCCCATCGCCACGCCATTGATATTATATACACTACAGTCTGCAGGTATCTAGTAATAACAAAAGTAGATTATGTATTAAGCAGTTTTCTACATTTCATTATTTACTGTTTTAGTACAATATCACTGACTACATATGTATTCTGTAATAGCATTGATTATTTGATTATAAAATAGAATATTCTGTCTCCATCCAATAAATAATCAATGGTAATAAAAAAAATAGTCTTATCCATCTTGGAAATGTCAAATACTCAAATGTCCATTTTCCATTGGTGAATACCCAGGCCCGGATCAACAATATAATGTACCCTAAGCCTCTAGCCACATTTTTTCCATTTATTAAAATCAATCCTGTGCACTTATAATTAATAATAGATTATTAAATTACACTATTCTAAATCCTGAAACACACTTTATTTTTTAAAGCTGTGTCTTCTCTAAATTGGTTTTAGAATATTGAATTAGAAAACAAAAAAAAATCAAAAGAATTAGAAAACATAACATCGGAACAGCGGAAAAAACGAAAACAATTAGAAATAATGAATTCTATTACGAAGTATTACAATGGAGAAACTAAAGAAAAAATAAAATTTTACAATGACAATATCATCAGACCACTTGAACATAAGTAATTTAATATATTTTTTAAGCAAATTTAATGCGGAATAGCAGAAGTACCCCTCCCCAATTAATCTTAATTTCCAGTTAGTTAAATCACTGAGCTTAATTTTAAATTATATAGAGATAGCCCTATATTATTATAAGCCTTTGAACATGTTTGAAGAGTTAAAATGGTTAAAATGATTTAATATTAGGTACACTAAAACATAATAATGTACAGTAATATTGATCAATAGCTGTTTTTGATAGTTACATTATTTATATATTATGATACCTATAAAATATATGTCGGTAATAATAATTGCTAATGATAATTTAAATAATTTAAATGATTTCATTAAAATAGAATATCACTCTAACCCTGATATTTTATCTTAGGTATATATTTTATTCAAAATCAGTGGTAAATTTATGCTTTTCAATATTTTTTATAACAATTAATTGTTGTGCATCTAAATATAATTTCAGTTATCACAAGTAACTTATTTATCAAAAGAAATATATTTTCAACTTGCCTTAAGCACAATTTTTTTCAATGTATTTATTGTTACAATATTTATTGATTATAGTTTTTCTGTTGTTAAAAATAATTTATTTGTTTCAATGAATATATTCTCACCTTAGTCTTATGATGTTCTATCACATGAAGATAATATATCAGTTTAAGAAAAAAAAAAAAAATTATAATTACAGAAATTGTATTCATTTTAACACAAAAATTAACTGTAGGGAACAATTTAAAAAAAAGTAAATAAAAACAAAAAATATATGTGAATAAATATTGAAAAACATTTTGTTCTAATTCAAGTTTACTCCTAGTTCCAGAGGCGTGTCCAGACCTCATTCGCAGGTCATGCACAACAGTGGCATATTTAGGGGATGGGGAAACTGCCAATCCACCCCCCCCCTCAAAAAAAATTTTCTGTTAGGATTTGGGGACATTACCTTGAATTATACTCATGATGAAAAACAAAAAATGTAATATTAAAATAGAAATTGAGAAAAAAAGGTTCATATTATTCATCAAAATGTACTATGATGTAAGTTTGATCAAATTTGCAGGTCATGCCTGTGCATGACAGGCATGACCTGTGGACACGCCTATGCCTAGTTCCTACACTTTCAGACTAGTTCCTACACTTATAGACTTAAACAGTTAACAAGTGTAATCATTAATATGTATAAAATAGAAATCATTTGAAAACCAATGAGTCGAATACAATTTAAATATACCCTATAAATCAACTGCATTAGAATTTAATCAAATCACCAAATTTGTGAATGCCCTAGACGTACAACATTTTCTATTTATAGAACGAAATCTGCATATTATTAGTCATCTGAAAATGTTTTATAAGTATAAAAATTAATTTTTCAAATCACCTATTACATATAGATTAGAAAAATGTGTATCACTGGTCGAATACGAAAAGAATAAAAACAATAACATAAGCAACTGCTTAATAGAGTTTGCTCCGGAATTTAAAGAAAAAATTGAAAATGTTAAATCACAAATCAAACAACTAGATGTAAGTTATCAAATAATTAAATATTAAACTCTTCAAACCTGTAAATCTAAAATGCTGTTATTTTATTATTAGAAAACTATAAGTGTTCAGTATGGGACTGTGGAAATATTACAAAAAGATTATAAAAATATTCAATTGGATGTTGTACGCCAAATAGAAATAAATTTAATCAAAGCAGAAAAGTTTGAAAATATCTTTGAAGCTATTCATAACTATTGGTCAGTCTTCAGTGTATATTTACATTACGTATTAGTGGGATAATCATTATAGAACAATTATTTCATAATTTCTATAACTAATTATGATAAAATTAATTTAGGACGCAAATGTTGAAGGTTGTTGAAATGAGAGAAAATTATATAATTTTGGATAGCAAGGTATTCCAAAAACGGTACGAGATAAAGAAAAAACAAGAGGAATGTTTAAGAAGGGAAAAAGAATTGATATCAAAGTTAGATGAATTAAAAGAATCAGTCCGTGAACAAGCAAAATATAACAAACAATTGTCTCGGCAGTATATTCAGCTGACAAACAAATGAATATGCACTTTTATTATCATTTTTTTTCTATAAAATTAAAACAGATAATCATTATAATCATACAGATATGTACCAATTAACCAATTGGTCATGAGAAAGAAGGTGATGGCATTCAGTGACAACAGTAATTTTGAGTTTTTAGACAATATAATTCAGCAACTAGCCCCTCCCCCTATAGGTGTTCATCACCATCCATTGGTAGAGGTATTTTTTTACTATACTTATAGATGTTTAAAAATATATGCAATTAAAAAATACTCTCATAAACATAAGTACATACTGTATTAATTTATAGGTATATAATTTTTTTATATAATCATTGAAAAATATCTGTGTATATGCTGCTGGAACACACAATTCTTTTGTTATTACTTGGAGAGATCACGTAATACATTTATTTTAAAATATTATATGGACCATATAATATGGTTTAAGTGACTTTTTAAGAAAATGTTCCTATTAATTAATTACCCACCGAATGTAATGCAAATATATAAGTTGGTGCCTAAGTAAACAAAATGTTTATATTACTATGGAGCTAATGGATCCTTATTACTTATTGGCTATACTCATCATTCAGTTTATTGGATGATTTTTGCATAATTGGTGTTGCATATGGTATGGGAAACAAATATATAGGTATGTGGTACTGTGACGGTTGATGGACATTATCTACTCCAAAATAGACCACACAAAAGAATCATATTAAGATTTTATAGGATTCGCCATATCATAGCCCCCATATTTGCCAAACTTATTACCTTCAGTACCTGCATAAATTTAAATAATTCTAAAACTACTCATTCGAATTTCATCACATTTTGAGTATACTCTGAATAAAAATTTTTAGGAAAAAAGATGGTTCTCATATGAAAAAAAGAAATGGTTTTGCACACAGGGCACTCCTTAAATAACGTAAAAATCTAAGACTTAACTTCTGGTGCAAATATATTAAGTATTTACCATGTTATAATTATTTGATTTCTGTTTATTTATTTGATTACATTTTTAGCACTTTTAGGTATTAAATTACAGTATAATTCATAATTACATTTATTTACTATTATAAGTATAACAGTTACCAATCATGTGACCCTGATGTCGTAAAGATAAACATTCAATTTTCATTTCTATCTTAGTTGTAAATAAATCTATAGGTTTACATGGGACAGTTTTTATAGTAACAGTGAGTAGACATAACTGTATATAATATTTTTGTCTTGAAATGGCAGTGAAGGGTTGGGATTGTCATCATGATTCCATGATCCATTCCTTCCATATTGTTTAAAACATTGGTTGTGAGTGACGCTTTCTAGTATGTATTTAAATAATAATTTTTTTTAAATATTTCTGTTAATAATTTGTAGACCAGTGAATAATGATAAAGCTACATTAGTCACATGCACTTGAGTCTAGATAAAAATAATGTACGTAATACACACTTTTAGAAAAACTTCCTCACTAGATGTACAAAAGAAATAATAAGATTTGTATTAAATTTGAACTTCTTTAATACTCTGTGAATAAACTTCAATATAGTAGAAAATTCAAATCTAAAGACTAAAAGTGGTATTTGTGCAGTTTACTTTAAAAAAAATAATACGTTTTAACTATCAAATTTTTATCCCAGAAATACACTACGTACTTAGAAGTGTTAAAATAAATTTTGTATATATTCATAAATAGTTGTATTTTTTTTTTCTTTTTACTATTTCCAAAACAGAGTATGACTAGTAGAATAAGGCGTAGTATTGATTTGTTAAGGATTTAGAATACCAGTGATCGTAGTAATAATTATGATTTGGCATAATTTTGTTTATGTTTCAACATATACATATAGCTTAATGTCATGGTAAAAAGTAAATAAAAATACAATTTAAAAAACACGATAATCTTTACGAATGATTTACACATACTCAGTCAGTAGCAACAATACATAAATTAAAATTCAAGTTAGATATACAATATAAAATTTAGGAATAAAATTTAAAACAAATGAAAAAAAATAAAGTATAAATCATAACACAAAATCAATAATCTAATCAAGATTACGTAATGTGGTTGGTTTAGACAATTTGATTAAACCAGTTAAATTATAATAGCATAAAAAATAATAATACTTTTTCGACCAAAACAATAGACACCTTACATGTTATGTAAATGATAGGCGTCTTTTAAATTAAAATATGTACTATATCCTATGTCGAAAGATAAGTTAAAACTATAATAATCAGTGTTTTATAATAATGATTGAAATTTGTATTTTGGTCGGTAAAATTAAATAACAAAATAAAAAACATGTTATTAAAGTAATTACATATATAGTGATACATATTATATATATATATATACATAAAAAATAAAATAAAAACGATAACTAGATCAGTGTTTATTTTTAACATATTTGTTATTCCACGCGAATTAAAATTGAAAAATTGGTAGAAAAGATAAAAAGAAAATTAGGTACTAAGTATTTTGGAAGAACCTTAAAAAAAATCTTTAACGTTATACCATTACATTGGATATATCATAATATAAACGATACATTCAAAATTAATAATTTGTACTTAAAAATTAATGGAAATAATATTTTTTTAAATTTTTACAAGCAATTTTTGTTTTGATATGTTCATGGCCATTTTTTATTTTTACATCATGGGTGGTTGACTAGTCATACAGCAGACACTTGTGCATCTTCGTCATCTAAAAAAATATTTAACAAACACTTTTAAAACACTAATCAATAATAGAAAATATGTTTAGTCATATTTACCATCATCATCATCACCATCATCTCGTAGATAATATGTTGATGTGACACCTTCATGCGAATGTGCTCTACCTAAACGGTGCATCCTAGCTGCCATTTGGGCAACGCTTGTGTTGTAAGCTGGAGGTGGTCTCGTCCGCACACAATTGGTCGATGATCCCATCATCTGCATGTTTGACGAATAAATAGGGCGGTTTCCAATCTGATAACCCGCTAATAATAATAAAAATAATTAGCTCAAGTAAAATTAGTAAAATTAAATTAATGAGTATAAAAATTAGTACCTGGAGGTTGCAGTACTGAATGTCTCCTTAAGTGGAGTGGTGGTGGTGGCGATGCTCCTGGAGGCATGCAAACATCTGTTGATCCGCTCGTTTGTGTCGAGTGTCCTGAATCGCTGGAAGTCACTGAACCCGCTAGGGCAAACTTAAGTGAGTATGCATTTATGCACTAATTTTAAAATGCCATATAAATTAACTTACTGGATGTCACAGTTTTTCTTAGCGACAGATTTGATAAGCTAGTAACACTACTGCTCTCGGCATTCAGATCAACCGATGATAAGAGTAAAGGTGGTGGTGGGTTTAGAGGAGTAGTATCTGAATGAGAACGTTCATGAGACGTTGCTGGAACACTAGGTGGTTGGTGGACATTGCGGCGGGTTGGAGGACCTGGAGAAGGTGCCATATGATACCTGGGCTGATGCAGTCTGGTTTTGCTCGGCTCACTTAAAGACAATAACTTTCGCACAGCTTGTGGTGAAGCAGAGCCTAATATATTATTATTTGGATAAAAAAACACAAATAAACCAAGAATATCATCAGTAATAATAATTACCGAATTTAGGACCAGTATTCTTCAATCCTTCACTGGCACTACTAGCACTACTAGCAGTTGAAAGCGTAGGCGATGGATGTCTTTTTCTTATTGGTCCAGATCCCATTATAGACCCACCAGTACTAGAACCTTCACAACTCATTGACAGTTCATGTAACTTTTCTTCATCAGTGAGCACTTTCATTTTCGCCAAATATGCCTTGACTCTTCTTACCATTTGGGACTAAAATAATTTTAAAAGAAAAATGTTTAGATTTAAACTATATTGATAAGCTGGTATTTATTATGCATACTTCTTCAAACATCTTTTTTGGATTTGGAGCAGCAGTTGACTTTTTTCTTCTTTTAAATGTGGCAGCACCTCCCTGATGAGCATTTCCACTTACACCTGTAGTAAGCTGATTCAAAGCTACCATTGCATTGGAAGTAGGCTGTCCACCAAGTTCTAACATTGTTAGTAAGTCGTAAGGTGATGAGCACATGTTTGTTAGATTTCTAACTTCTTTGGCAATCATTCTTAACTTTTCAAAATTAATTAGACTTTCTACATGAGTATCGTTACCAAGATGTATAAATGTTAGATCTTTCTTGACTACTGGATAAAACGGAATCTAAAAAAAATTAAAAATTAGTATCTTCATCAAGTGTTAAATTTTAAATATCAGATTATACTTACAATTGGGGGTTGGGATTGTTCGTTGCTGACTAGTTGACGATATTTACTCATGTTTCGTGAAGGATCCATTAAATCTTGAAGATCACTAAATAATCTTTGATATTTTGTTGGCAGTTTTTCCCATGATTGGCGTAAACGGCTAACAGCTCCATGTCCAAGTCCAGAAATTATGGCAAACATAGAATTAAAATTTTTACATTCCTTACATTGACCTGTATACATAAAATTACATACTCATTAAATAAAAGTTAAATCAGAAAGATATAATCCAATATTTAATTCAATCTATTTTGTACACGTACGTGCTACTTTTATAAATTGTTTGATCATTTTTGACCGTCTAATAAGGTTGTGTTCCGAGCAAATTTCTGTTACAACCCAAAACATTTCTGTATTCACCAACTAAAATGTTTTGAAATTAAATAAATTATTATTAAATAAAAATTTACTTATAAAAAATATATGAAAAACATACTTCAGCAAATTTAGAAAGCATTGGTGTTCCATAACGACTGTCTAATTGAAATAAGTCGTCAACATATTCTGTTGCTTCAATTTGCCTAAATATCGAAAAGTCTTGTAATGTAAGTTGTACTGCTACTTCAACAGCATTCAATTGCAAGAAATGTACATGACTTTCCCTTATTAAATCAGCTGCAAGTTCATCTCCAACTAATGTTTCAGTATTACTGACATTTTTTAAGTAATATCTATAAA